ACATCGCCCATATGAATTGAAGTTATAGAGCCAGGGATAATACGCTTGTGTAAAACGTTGAGAAAAACCATAATCAAATATAAGAGTAGCTAAATGATTTGGAATAGAACCAGGTATTAATTGATACTTGATGTTACCTAAATACAACGTTTGTACGGTGGGTGGTATAATATTAAGTGATTGATTAAAGCCATTAAGTAAATATAAATGTGTAATTGCTGCTGGAATTGAATCAGGTGTTAATTGATACTTGATGTTATCTAAATACAAATATTGTACGGTGGGTGGTATAAAATTAAGTGGTTGATTAAAGCCATCTTGTAAAAATAAATGTATAACTGTTGCTGGAATTGAATCAGGTGTTAATTGATACTTGATGTTATCTAAACACAAGAATTGTACGGTGGGTGGTATAAAATTAAATGGTTGATTAAAATCATCAAGTAAATATAAATCTGTAACTTTTGCTGTTGCTGGAATTGAATCAGGTGTTATTTGATACTTGATGTTTTGTAAATACAAGAATTGTACGGTGGGTGGTATAAAATTAAGTGGTTGATTAAAATCATCAAGTAAATATAAATGTATAACTGTTGCTGGAATTGAATCAGGTGTTAATTGATACTTGATGTCATGTAAATACAAGAATTTTACTGTGGGTAGTATAAAATTAAGTGGTTGATTAAAGCCATTAAGTAAATATAAATGTGTAACTGTTGCTGGAATTGAATCTTGTGTTAATTGATACTTGATGTTTTCTAAACACAAGCATTGTACGGTGGGTGGTATAAAATCAAGTGATTGATTAAAGTCATTAAGTAATAATAAATCTGTAACTGTTGCTGGAATTGAATCAGGTGTTAATTGATACTTGATGTTATCTAAATACAACCTTTGTACGGTGGGTGGTATAAAATTAAGTGGTTGATTAAAGCCATCTTGTAAAAATAAATGTGTAACTGTTGCTGGAATTGAATCTTGTGTTAATTGATACTTGATGTTATATAAATACAAGCATTCTACGGTGGGTGGTATAAAATTAAGTGGTTGATTAAAGCCATCAAATAAATATAAATGTTTAACTGTTGCTGGAATTGAATCAAGTGTTAATTGATACTTGATGTTTTCTAAACACAAGCATTGTACGGTGGGTGGTATAAAATTAAGTGGTTGATTAAAGCCATCTTGTAAATATAAATTTGTAACTGTTGCTGGAATAGTTTTGGGTAAACATTCGATAGGTCCAATAGCAAGACTTCTAATTTTTAAATGACCAATATAATACCCTTCTTCGTAAATTGTAAATTCAAATTTATAAACTTTATTAAAAGGAATTAATATAAGTATTATTAGTTTAAAATAAAAAAATATAAAACTTACATTTTAGTGTTTTTAAATCTAAAGGAATATCATCAACTACTTCTAAACAACTGTCTGTTAGATCTTTGATTGAGTCGGGATTATTTTCTTGAAATATTAATTTAGTATCTATATTTATATCCTTTACTTCTAAATAACTGTTTGTTAGATCTTTGATTGAGTCGAGATTATTTTCTTGAATTATTAATTGAATATCTTTATATTCTGGTAAGTTATTATTACTTATATTTGATAAAAGATTGTTACATTGATGATTGTGTTTTAAAAGTATAATAAATTCATTATCAATATTATTATTAACATCATTATTATAACTAATATCAATATTAAATTTTATGGCATTATTAATAATATTATTATTGTTTTCCATTGTTGTTGTTATTATATTTACTTCTGTGTTTTCGTCTAATTTTGTGATTAATAATCTTTTGACATCATTTTCTTTTGCATTGATAATATTATTTAATTCCTTAAATATATTATAAGTTTTATCAAAATTCTTTGTATGGTTATCTTGAATTTGTTTAAAGTTGTTGTTTGATTCATCCAATATTTTTTTATTATTTTCTAAATAGTTGTTTAGTTTTGGTATTGTTTGATTTTTAAAATCCTGTCGTATTTGATTTCTTAAATTTATATCATTTAGTTTTTTTAATATATGACCATTATGATCCCCGGTAATACAATCAATACAGACAGGAGTGTTGTTTGGACAATATGAGCATATTGAAACAATATCTTGATATGGATGAGTTAAGCATTTGGTATCGTATTGTCGATTATATGACATTATTTATTTTTAGTTTTTTAGAATAATTTAAAATAATTTTTTTTTATAAATTTTAAATTTATATAATAAATTGTATTTTATTATTTATTTATATATATATAGGTATATATTTGTAAATAATAATTTGAGTTATGGTGTGGAAAAAAAATTTTAAAATCTTTAAAAAAAAATTTAAAATCTTTAAAAAAAATAAAAAAAATAAAAAATTAAATTTAAAATTTTTTTTTTCACAAAAAAGTTGACTTAGTTATTGATATAATATATTAATATTTTAAAAAAACATAAGTTCTCAAAAGTTGGACCCTTTTTAAAAATATATATAAAATTTTAATTTTAGTCATATCTTAAGTTTTTGATTATAATTCCTGTGGTTTTTATTTAAAATTGAATATTATATTGTATTTTTAATTTATGGTGATTAAGAAAATAAAAACAATTTGAGTTATTTTTTTTAAATAAAAATATGTTTTTTTTTTTTTAAAATATTATTTTTCTTCTAAGAAATTTTTTTTCACTTTAGAATTACTTCTAAAGTGAAAAAAAAAAGTTTTACAAAGTTGATTAACATTTTTTATTCTTCAGTTTTTTAAATTAAACGCATAAAAGAAAGTATAGCTTGGTATGAACAAAATAGTTATGGAACAATATCAGACTATTCAGTAAGAATGATAGAAGAGACATAAGATAATATATAAAAAGAAAATTAAGAAATATTCATTGAATAGATATTATAGAAGAAAAAGATATTTTTTTGTAATTGCACATATAAATTTTACTGAAACAATGGAAAAATCATATGTTTATGGATGAATCAAAGTTCCAACAATTAGATAATAACCATGGCGGGTTTCTTGGGCTTATGACACTAATGTTTTATAAGAATCTCAGACACTAATTTGGTTGAATGAAGAGTAAATGAGCTTTTGCTATTTTTGTTGCTATAATTATTATTTGTATTCATTTGAAAATATGTAAATGGGTAATATTGTTTGATTTTATTTAATTTAAATTTTATATTTTTGGATGTTTGTAGTCAGTTAAATAACGAATTGTTTGATCGAGGTTTGAAATGGAGTCAGGTTCTAAAGGATAGACCACATTGCCTATAATAATAAAATCTATAGAGCCAGGGATAATACCTTTTGTAAAAGTTTGAGAGAAGCCATTAGAAAATTCAAGAATAGTGAAATGATTTGGAATTGAACCAGTTATTAGTTGATATTTGATATTATGTAAATTCAACCATTTTACGGTGCGTGGTATAAATTTAAGTGATTGATTAAAGCCATCTAGTAAAGATAAATATGTAACTGTTTTTGGAATTGAAACAGGTGTTAATTGATACTTGATGTTTTGTAAATTCAAGCATTTTACAGTGGGTGGTATGAAATTAAGTGGTTGATCAAAACCATCTAGTAAAAATAAATCTTTAACTGTTTCTGGAATTGAATCAGAAATTAGTTGATACTTGATGTTTTCTAAATTCAAGCATTCTACGGTGGGTGGTATAAAATTAAGTGATTGATTGAAGCCATGTAGTAAAAATAAATCTATAATGGTTTTTGGAATTGAATCAGGTGTTAATTGATACTTTATGTTTTGTAAATACAAGGATTTCACAGTGGGTGGTATGAAATTAAGTGGTTGATCAAAGTCATCTAGTAATAATAAACGTGTAACTGTAGCCGGAATAGTTTCGGGTAAACATTGAATAGGTCCAATAGCAAGGCAACTAGTTTCTAAATTACTAATATCACACCCTTCTTCATAAATTTTAAATTCTCTTTGACACACTTTATTAAAATGAATTAATTTAGTATAAAATAAAAATAAAAATAAAAATTTAATGTTTAAACTTACATTCTTGTGTTTTTAAATCTTTTTTAACTAAAGGAATTCCATCATCTACTTCTAAATAGCTGTTTGTTAGATCCTTGATTGAGTCGAGATTATTTTCTTTAATTATTAACTGAGTATCTATATATTCTGGTAAGTTATTATTATTTATATTTGATAAAAGATTGTTACATTGATGACTGTGTTTTAAAAGTTCAATAAATTCATTTATATTATTATTATTATTATCATCAATATTATTGTTATTATTATTATTATCATCATTATTATATTTAATAGCATTATAAACTATATTATTTTTGTTTTCTATTGTTGTTGTTATTATATTATTTACTTCTGTATTTTCATCTAATTTAGTTAATAATAATCTTTTGACATCATTTTCTTTTGCATTGATAATCTTTTTTAATTCTTTAATTCTATCAGCTGTTTTATCTAAATTCTTTGTATGGTTTTCTTTAATTTGTTTAAAGTGATTGTTTAATTCATCCAATATTTTTTTATTATTTTCTATATAGTTGTTTAGTTTTGGTATTGTTTGATTTTTAAAATATTGTTTTATTTGATTTCTTAAATTTAAATCATTTAATTTATTTATACGGTGACCATTATGAAAATTGGTGATACATTTAACACAGACAGGAGTGTTATTTGGACAAGTTGAGCATATTGAAATTATATCCTGGTGGGGATGAGTTAAGCATTTGGTATCATTTTGTTGATTTTCTGACATTATTTTTTAGAATTTAAATTTAGTTTTTTACAATAATTATTTATATTTTGTTAACACTGTTTTATAACAACAATAAAAAACCAGATAAAAAAATTTTAAAATCCAAAATGAAAAAAATTTGCAAAATTTTATAAAAAAATTAAAAAATTTAAAAAAAAATTTAAATTATTTTTTTAAAAAAATTGAAATTCAGGACTTAATTTATGAATTGATTCTTGTTTTATACACTTAAAGTCCACATTTTATGTTATTTTAAATTTAAATGATAAAACAATTTAATATTTTAAATTATTAAACTAAGTTTCATGTCTTATTATTCAATAATTTGAAGTTTGGTTTGTTATCATTATGTAAATACAATTAACAATTATTAAAAAGATATGAAATCTACTAACAAATTAATTATAATATAATAATTATAATTTGTTTAATTTATATTAATTTATATTTTTTATTTCAATTTATTGACAGAATATCTTCCATTTTGTTTTGAGTTTCTTAGAAGATTTTTTAAATGATTTGGAATTGAACCAGGTTTTAATTGATACTTGATGTTTTGTAAATACAAATATTTTACGGTAGGTGGTATAAAATTAAGTGGTTGATTAAAGCCACCAAGTAAATATAAATCTGTAACTGTTGCTGGAATTGAATCAGGTGTTAATTGATACTTGATGTTATCTAAATACAAGCATTGTATGGTGGGTGGTATAAAATTAAGTGATTGGTTAAAGCCATCAAGTAAATATAAAAATAAAACTGTTGCTGGAATTGAATCAGGTGTTAATTGATACTTTATGTTATGTAATTTCAAGAATTTTACGGTGGGTGGTATAAAATTAAGTGGTTGATTAAAGCCATGAAGTAAATTTAAATCTAAAACCTTTGCTGGAATTGAATCAGGTGTTAATTGATACTTGATGTTACCTAAATACAACGTTTGTACGGTGGGTGGTATAAAATTAAGTGGTTGATTAAAGCCATCTCGTAAATATAAATGTGTAACTGTTGCTGGAATATTTTTGGGTAAACATCCAATAGGTCCAATAGCAAGATTTCTAATTTTTAAATGACTAATATCACACCCTTCTTCGTAAATTGTAAATTCTAAATTATTAACTTTATTAAAAGGAATTAATATAAGTATTATTAGTATAAAATAAAAAATTTAAAACTTACATTTTAGTGTTTTTAAATCCAAAGGAATATCAAGTATTTCTAAATAACTCTTTATTAGATCTTTAATTGACTCGAGATTATTTTGTTTAATTATTAATTGAGTATCTTTATATTCTGGTAAGTTATTATTTATATTTGATAAAAGATTGTTACATTGATGATTGTGTTTTAAAAGTTCAATAAATTCTTTATCAATATTTTTATTATTATTAATATCATTATTTAATTTAATAGCATTATTTA